TCTGGACAACATGGTTGACCTCATTATTAAAACGGTCGACCAGATATAGTATTTTAAAAAAAACAATACTTCTCTTACTTGTCCCATTTGGTGTCTACAACCTTCTCTTTAGTAACAACATAAACCAAATCTTCAACTGAATTTTGTAGAGAGTTTATAAATTCTTTTATCCCCTCCACTTTCATGATCTACAACTCAGAGTTAAAATTGAAGTTACATATAAAAACAAACACACATTCTCTATTTGATATAGATCAATATGTAACTTAAACTTACTCCGTGATTTTCGAAAGGACTCTTAGATTCATCTTCGTCGCTATCAGAACTAAATAATCTTTTTCTTGCTAAATGATCCTTCTGTGGAGTGGTGTATGAGTCACTTTCATATCGAGATTTCTTGTACATAGAAGAGGAACCATTGCTGCCAAACGTTGTTTCACTCTGTCAATCCTATAAACAAAATAAATTAGCACTAATGATAGTAATACTAATATCTTCACTCACATATTAATATACTTTCACCTTAAACTTGCAGTCTTTCAATAAATAAATCGTCTATGCTTTAGTAGTAATTTGCAGAGTCATATGGTCTTCATCCTCTTCATCAAAGTCAAATTTCTTTATGGTACCATCTCTTCGTCCCTTCTCTATTCTTTTTGCACATATTTCTTTTATAGCACCTTCTAGCCTCTCAAAACCATCATGCATCATCCCAATCATATTTCTCAATCGAACTGACAACTAATCTAGTGTATCACGCATGGGCTTCTAATAGTCATTGAATTCTTCTCGACACATTACCATCTGCTCTTGTGTGGCTTTAAACACTTGCATAATTTCACCCTCATCGTGTTATTGTCTCTCATCACGCACCATTGTCTAATAAATTTAAATAAAAATTCAAATCAGAATTCAACTTCAAAAGTTCAAATGTGTACAAATGACCAACAACAAAGATGAGGTCGACCATATATACCTAATGTCGTAACTACCAGAACCATTTAGGTCAACTTTTGACTATCCCCGGTCAACCCATAAAGCCTAACAGAGTCTTACAAATAAAAGTCAAAGTCGACATTGTGGACAAACAAACAAAACTAACACATACGGTCGACCATGATACGAATTGGGCCAACCGAATCTTCTTATACAAGCGAACTAAAACTTCAAATTAAAGGAAGCAAATTATGAGAAAATACTGACGAATATATATCACAGTGACTGCCACCAACATGGATTTGGTTTTTTTCGGTTACAGTTTTAGTGAAAAAGCAGACAACTACTAGGTCTTCATGTTCGGGTTCTAGATCGTCAACCACATACAAGGTGAGGCGACCTAATTTACGGTACGATGTTATCCTTGCTCTATACTAATTTTCTCCTTTAATTTGAAGTTTGATTTGATTTGCTTTCATGTTATAGGTTTAGAGTTTTGGGGAAGAACAAGAAGTTCGTGGTGGTTGTTTCTATACGTGTTCCCCGCGGTCGACCACTTTGGTTCATTTTATATGTAAAGTAATTATGCACATAAATGTTGATTGATGCATATGATTAGGTGCGTCTCACCCCTTGCATTTGTTTATGGATTGTTGGGATATTTGTTAGAACCCTATTTCTAGAGTTCTATCGATCAGATTGGCGAGATTGGGAATTGGTAGGAATTTAGAACAGAATTGGGATTAGGAAGTAAATTGGGGAAGAGAAGAACAGAATGGTCGGCGGCCATAATAGAGATAGAAGAGAATTTCATAGGATTAGCAAAGATTAGGGTTTAGCAGTTTTTCTTAATATTCTTCTTATTGATCTAAAATGAATAACAAAGTACACTTATATAGGAAAATAATTAAAAACCTAACAATAAACCTAAACTTAACAATCAAGATAATGATTTATCCTAATAATTATCTCTAAAATGAATATGATTATTATAATAGAAACCTGTGGAGAATAGGTTTCTATGAATATCCATATTGTCAACGGTCCTAATGATTTGTAAATGGCAAATGTGGACATAGGATGAGGTGGCTAACCGCTTAAGTGACATTGTATTTTTCGTGTACACACAACAAATTGTAACGGTGTTATGTAATATTTGTAATGGTTAGTTTAGATTAACAATATCAGGTTCACATCTTTGTACATTAATCAAACCGTATCGTGCAATGTTGTTCAAGTAGCTTATTATTATATAATTAAAAACACAAGTACTTTTCACTGTTAATTAAGAAAAAATAGGCTATTTTTTCTTCACGAGTACTGTTCACAATATGATTTTATCTCATGTACCCAATTTTACCATAAGCCATTTTTCCTCCTTTTTTGTAATACTATTCATATGATTTTTGTTCCCTACAACCACTTTTATGATAAGTTTAAAATTCATAAATAATTATTATTACACCACATATTATGAATCTCCTTTTCTGCAATATTATTCATATATATTTTATTCCCTTCAACAGCTTCAAAGATAAGTCTAAAATTGATAAGCAATTATTATTAGACCATATTATGAAATATCTTATTTTATTTTATCTTATCTTATCTTATATATATTATGGTTGTTCAAAAGCTAATTCTTGCCAAATAAGCATTTGAAGAACTCACAAGTTGCCAAGGTGGACAATTTTTTTTGAAACAAAAACATTTAGTTAATGGCATATTTATGGAGCAATCTCTCTCTTCTTTTAATATTTTTTTCTTTCAATCAATAATTCCTTTTTTCTTTTGCATTATATATGCAATAATAGACTAATGTTTGTAAAGTTACATCTATCGCATTTTTTTAAAACGAAACATATTATTACATCTTTAAGTCAAATTTCTACTCATTTATACTAGAACTTATAAGTTATATTTTAATGAAAAATTAAAAAAACACACACATAAGTAATAATATTTCGTTCGATCAAACAAATATAATGATGGAAAGAGAGAAAAAGTTGTTTGACGATCAATCTATTTTAATAAATACTTTTCACTGTTCATTAAAAAAAAGGCTATTTATTCTCCACGTGTACTGTTCACAATAGGATTTTATCTCATATACCCAATTTTACCATAAGCCCTTTTTGCTCCTTTTCTGTAATATTATTCATATGATTTTTATTCCCTACAACCACTTTTACCATAAGTCTAAAATTCATAAATAATTATTATTACACAACATATTATGAATCTACTTTTCTGCAATATTATATGTGTTTTATTCCCTACAACCACTTCAAAAATAAGTCTAAAATTAATAAGCAATTATTATTAGACCACATTATGAAATATTTATGTAAAAAAATTCAAAAAAAGTTACATAAATTGAAAATTCGTTGATGTTACTTAGTACTTACTATAACTTGATTATACTATTAGAACACACATTATGAAAAAATTATGTAATAACGTTCTATAACTGTTATATGAGTTTTACTTAATGATTAAGAAACTACGTTTATGGAAAAATAATCATTTATGTATCAATTAAAAAATATATGTAAGTTTTCTATAATAATTAAACACTACGTAAACTTTATGTAGAAATAGTTATTTACAATGTATCACTTAGACAATCGGATGACGTAATTATTAAAACATCATGTGAAACTTACATATGTATCTTATCTGAATAATTTGGTATATTATTTTATTTAAACTAACTCATTAGTTTCTACTGCGGCGGAGCGCGAGCTAAAAAAACTAGTTATAATTAGTTTAGTTTTACATGAATTTGATCAATTTAGATTTGACCTCTTACATAATCATTAATGATAATATTACCATTCACATCACCATTACATAATCGTATATGAGATTTTCACTTCATGCGGCTCTAAAAGGCCATAAAAAATATAAATGGATTTTTTTTTTTTTTTTTGCATCAGTGAGCAGAATTTGGTTGGATGAAAAACTTTCGGGAAAACACCTTTTAAACATTTTTTGTCCAAATTGTATAGTGTCAACTAATTGAACACCCTAACTCGTATGCTATATATGTTGTCGGAACACGAAGAGTGAAGATGGGAAGTAGAGAAGCAGGTAAAGAAGATGTGATGAAAAGAGAAGCAAACTAAAGGGCCCTGTACAACAAGACGGTTTTTCTTTGGGCGGGTGGGAGACAATGAAATGAGAAAGAGAGAAGGGGAAAAACTCTCCATCCTCTTTTACTCACGTCGTCATCACATCAACATCTCCCCTATTTTCTATGAATGGTGTATATATTTCATCAAAATAACGACAATGTTACGAATACCAAATAATTTAGTTTAGGGGTCGTTTGGATGGGAGATTGTGTAATGAGTTATTTTTTGGGAGTGGTATTAATTGATCCAGTTTCGAAATTCTTTTTTTCCGGTAATATGTTGGTTTGCCTGCTTGTTTCGTTGTTTGCTTTCTTGGTAAAAACAACCGAGCTCTCAGGACTTGAACTTGCTGCTGCAGACAAAAATTTGCAGCAAGCTTACACAGTTGTTAAAGTTGAGTATACATAATCAGCATAGTATGGTAAGGCAGAATCACGTACCAATACCAATTACTACTAGTTTAGAAAGTCTTTATAGAATCATCACCTTCAACTCCACTTAATCTCTTCTTTTTAAATCACTATACTTGTAACTGATGATTCCCCTTTAAATCTCATCTCCCTAGAATCACCTGCCTGTCATGGAGTATATGTATTTATGTAAGTGCTTTTCAATCAGCCGTAGTGTAGTTGATGCATGATCAAATACGACATAGTGCTTTTAGAACTCCATAGTCTGCTTCAAGTCCATAATCTGGCCTTATCTAGATGACTCTATGATTCCACTACATAAAAGTATATGAGCTATTTATTGTCTTTAATCTTGTTGGTTTTGTTGTTTTGATTCAGGTAGAAAACTGGTGTACTTTCTTTGAATGGTGTGATGTCCGCAGCATGCGTGATAGGGAGTTGCTTATGAGAAAGTAACAACAGGTATGCCTTGGAAACCCTAAACTTGTGTTCTCATTGATTTTGATCGATCTTATATACATCGTTTGTTCATTACAGGACAAGGATTACTAGCTGTGAATTTGACAGAGCAGAGGTACGAAATGCAGAGAAAGGAGGGAACAGAAACTGAACAAAGGAAAGAGACGTTGTGGCCTCAGGACACAACGACGACGTCTTGATTCTCTTTGGTTTCGGTAGACAGCAACGGCGACGTTTCGACCTTCTTCGTCCCGTTTAGTTGAGACGGCAGCGTTCCAGGTATCTCGCGCTTTGCTTTGCCTGAAACGACATCGGACCAGCTGCTTCCTCTTGTAGCCGTTGAAATGGCGGTTGAAAATTTTGATTTTTTCTCTGATACCCCCCCCCCCCCCCGCAAGCTGGTGGGCAGAGATTGTGCACACCAAGCTTGGAGAGGAGATCGGAGAAAAGGGCAGGTGGGAGGGCCTTGGTGAAGATGTCGGCCAATTGGTGCAGTGAAGAAACGTGAAGCAGCTTGATGGTTCCATTCTGCAGTTTTTCCCTGACCAGGTGACAATCAAGTTGTGTTTTGTTCTTTCGTGGAATGTTGGATTCTCGGCAATGTGGACTGCTGATTGATTGTCGCAGTATAGGATGGCTGGCTGTTGGTGATGCACCTGGAAATCACGGAGGAGATAGAGAAGGGATTGCAATTCACATGTGGCATCAGCCATGGCCCTGTATTCAGCCTCACAAGAAGACCTGGAAATTGTTTTCTGCTTCTTGCTGCGCCAAGAGATGAGAGCAGTGCCAAGGTAGACACAGTAGCCAGTGACTGATCTTCTGGTGTCCATACAGGCTGCCCAGTCTGAGTCACTGAAGGATTTGAGGTGAAGATCTGATGTAGAGGGGAAGAAAAGACCAGTGGAAGGCGCAGACTTGAGGTATTTCAGAATTCTTGTGACTGCCTGATAGTGTTGATTGCTAGGATTGGACATGTACTGAGCCACCTGTTGTGTAGCAAAACTGATATCAGGGCGTGTTGTGGTTAGATAGATTAGTTTGCCAACTAATCTTCTGTAGAAAGATGGATCTGGGTAGGGGTCTGAATGATTGGATGATAGGTGGAGTTTGTAGTCCATTGGGGTAGAAACAGGCTTGGATAGAAGAACATCTGCTTCTTCCAATATCTCCAGTGTATATTTCCGCTGTGATAAATGAATACCTGATGAATTTCTGGCAACTTCAATGCCTAGAAAGAACTTGAATGGACCCATATCTTTGATGCTGAATGTCTGATGAAGGACCTGTTTCAATTGACTGATTTCACCCATGTCATTGCCTCCAACTAGGAGATCATCAACATAGACTAACACAGAAGTGAATGATGTATCAACTGACTTTGTAAAAAGAGAATGATCAACTTGACTGGGCTGGAACCCCTGTTGAATTAAGCAATCTGCCAACTTAGCAAACCATTGTCTTGATGCCTGTTTGAGTCCATAAAGGGACTTTTTGAGTCTGCAAACAGGATTGGGAATGTGTGGTGGGGGCTTGTAGCCTTTGGGAAGCTTCATGTAGACTTCTTCTGTGAGGTCTCCATGAAGAAAGGCATTGTTCACATCTAGCTGGTGAACATGCCATGATTTAGATGCTGCAATAGCCAGAAACAACCTCACTGTGGTCATTTTGACCACAGGAGCAAAGGTATCCTGGTAATCGATCCCTTCCTGTTGATTATAACCCTTAGCAACCAATCTGGCTTTCTCTCTTTCAAGACTTCCATCTGAGAGAAACTTGTATTTGAAGATCCATTTGTTTCCTAATGGTTTCCTCTGTGGTGGTAAAGACACCACATCCCATGTTTGGTTTCTTTCAAGGGCATCAATTTCATGATTGATGGCATTGTTCCACTCAGGACTGAGAGCTGCCTCCTCATATGACTCTGGTTCTTTATGACATGAAATGTTTAGGATATACCTCAGGTGATGAGGTGAGAGATTAGTGTAATCCAAAACATCAGATAAAGGATAGGTAATACCTGTGATCTGTTGCTGCAGAGAGTGACCAGTGGAAAAAGTCTGCTGAAGCAGGTTGCAATGGTAATGTTGTAGTTTGGTGGGAGGTTTGATTGTTCTAGGTGGCTTTCTGATGGCTATGGGAACAGATTGTGTGGAGGGAGGGGGAGGAGGACTGGGAGGTGGTGTGGGGATGGGAGGTGGTGATGGTATGGTGGGGATTACTGAGGTAGGAGGTGGGTCATCTGGAGCAGAAGTAGGTGGGATTGGATATGGAGGAGGAGGAGTGGTTGGTAGGTCTGGGGATGTGGTATGGCTGGGTTGAAATGGAAACTCAGTTTCATAGAACTGAACATCTCTGGAAATGAAGACCTCATTAGAGTGAAGGTCATATAGTTTGTAGCCTTTAATGCCTGAAGGATAGCCTAGGAAAACACATTTTCTGGCTCTTTCTTGGAATTTGGTTCTATGGTTTTTGAGGGTGGATGCATAGCAGAGACATCCAAAGACCTTTAAGTCTTGGAGGTTTGGTGGTTTGTTGTATAGTTTCTGGTAGGGTGTGAAATTGGCTAGGACTGGGGTTGGGACTCGATTGATTAGAAAAACAGCATGTTTAACACATTCACCCCAGTAGCCTATTGGAAGATTGGCTTGGAATTTTAGGGCCCTAGCAACAGCTAGGATGTGTTGATGTTTACGTTCCACCTTGCTGTTTTGTTGTGGAGTTTCCACACAAGACATTTCATGTGTTATGCCTGATTGAGCAAAGAAATCAGACATTTGAAATTCCAGACCTTGATCACTACGAATGGTTTGGACATTTGTTTGGAATTTTGTTTTAACCATTGTGCAGAATTGTTGTAGTTTAGGTCTGGTTTCAGCCTTTGATGGCAGAAGGATGATCCATGTCATCCTGGAATGGTCATCTACAATAGTTAAGAAGTATTTATGACCATCATAGGTAGGATAAGAGTAGGGGCCCCAAATATCAACATGTATAAGTTGAAAACAGTATGTAGATACAGTTGAACTTGAAGGAAAAGGAAGCCTCTTCTGTTGGCAAAATGACAAACATCACAAGGGAGGCTGCTGTTGGTTTCTATGGATGAACAAAGTTGATTCAATGGAGGAATTCGACTATGGGAAACATGTCCAAGTCTGAAATGCCAAATGTCTAAGGTAGGGGAACTAACAGCAGCTTGTGATGTGTTTAGGTAGACTAGCTAGGTTAAGATTGATGTGGTAAAGGCCATGGAAAGCTTAGCAGAACCAGTCACTCTCTTCAGCTCCAGATCCTGTATTGTGCAAGAGTCAGAAGAGAAGGTTAAGCATAGGGGTCTGGTGGTGGTTAACTTGCTCACTGATATGAGATTGAAAGTAAAATTTGGGACAAATAGTGCATCCTCAAGGACCAAACCATTGAGGCAAAGCACCTGACCAATGTGAGTAGCCTGTACTCGATCTCCAGTGGGCAAGTTTATGTAAATGTGATCCACTTTTCTGGATGTATGTAAAAAACTGAGGGAACTGACAATGTGGTCAGTTGCCCCTGTGTCAAGTATCCAAGGAGTAGCAGAATTGCTATTGTTGAGTAAATAGCAAGAATGGTTACCTGAGGGATCAGGTTCATAGTGAGTGGTAAGTGCTGCTGAATGAGCCTGTTTGCCCTTGAGGTTGTCAGACATAAGAGACATTAGCCTGTCATAATCAGCTTTAGTAAGCTTGAACCCAGGTTGAGGTTCTGAAGATGAACCACTGTCAGTGGTGTTTGCCATTGCTCTTGAGCGGATGGGAGGTGGTCTGGCTTGAGAAGGTGGTGGATAGCCATGCTTCTTAAAGCATTTGTCTTCAGTGTGACCAATCCGTTTGCAAAATGTGCATTCTGGTGGTTTGGTTGATGGGTTCTGAGTCATGGATGAACCTCGAGAGGACAATCCTGGGGGCCAACCATGTTTGTGATAACATGTGTCTTCGGTGTGGCCTGGATTGTTGCAGAAGGTGCAATGGGGGCGCTTCCCAGGAGGGAAAAAAACGTTTGTTCCCCTGAACAGCAAGGCTGAGCTTTCAGCAGTGATTGTTTTGCCTTGTTGAGTGCCATAGAGTTGGCGCTCATGTTGTAAGGCTCTCTGAAAAACCCTATCAATGGGTGGTAATGTGTCTCCAAACAGGACTTGAGAGCGAACAGTAGCATAGTTATCATTCAGACCACGAAGAAACTGAACAACAGAGTTGACATCACGGTAGCTAAGAACAGCAGTCATAGCAGCACAATCAACAAAACTGGTCTCTGTGCAACGACATGGATTGATGGGCTGATAGTTGTCCAGCTCATCTTGAAGAGCAATAAGATTTCCATAGTATTCAGTCACGGTTTGATTACCTTGTTTAATCGTGCCAATAGCTTCAATTAGCTCGGCAACACGGATCATGTCACCTTGACCATAACGAGCTTTGAGACTTGTCCAAGCTTCTGAGGCGAGCTTGGCAGACATGATGGTCTTCTTGATGCCATGGTCAAACAGCCTGTTGAATCAGCTGAGGACCATGATGTTGTTGCGACTCCAAGAAGAGAACAGAGGATCAGTGGGATCAGGGGCTGGAATGGCGCCATTGATGAAGCCAAGTTTGTTCTTGGCGGCCAGAGCATTAAGCATCGCTTTGCTCCAGTCATTGTAATTGGTGGTGGTCAGCTTCTCACCTACCAGAAGGAGTCCAGGTTGTTCAGAACCATGGAGATAAAATGGATCCGAGGTGGGATCCTGTACTTGGGTGGTTGCCATTGTTCGGCGGCGGCTAGGGTTGCTCTGATACCATAACAACAGGTATGCCTTGGAAACCCTAAACTTGTGTTCTCATTGATTTTGATCGATCTTATATACATCGTTTGTTCATTACAGGACAAGGATTACTAGCTGTGAATTTGACAGAGCAGAGGTACGAAATGCAGAGAAAGGAGGGAACAGAAACTGAACAAAGGAAAGAGACGTTGTGGCCTCAGGACACAACGACGACGTCTTGATTCTCTTTGGTTTCGGTAGACAGCAACGGCGACGTTTCGACCTTCTTCGTCCCGTTTAGTTGAGACGGCAGCGTTCCAGGTATCTCGCGCTTTGCTTTGCCTGAAACGACATCGGACCAGCTGCTTCCTCTTATAGCCGTTGAAATGGCGGTTGAAAAATTTGATTTTTTCTCTGATAGAAAGATAGGTTTGTTAGAGCTGCAAGTTGCTGAACTGTTGGAGGAGAACCATCGACTGGTTAATGAACTCCAAACTCAAGGTGGGAATGGCCTTTCCCAACACCAGGCCAATTCTGCAAGTCAGGAATGCTACCTTACGGTGGAGGTTGATGTAGATAAACAAGAATCGGGTACAACAGCCACCATGATAAGCCGATCAACCATCAAGTAGGGGTCGTTTTAGTGTTGTATGCGGTAGCTTCAAGTCCAAAATCTATTTGGATGGCAGTAATTAGTGTAGCTGTTTTACGAAGACCTTCTTGTAAGTATCTTGTAGTGGATATTATTTAGGCAGCCTGTTATTGTGGTTCTTGTTAGGCCCAATCTCATTTTAATCTTGTTATGTAAGGGTTGTTAGTAATTGGATTATGTAGCTCATGTTTTATCGGATCATGTAACTGTTGTTTAATCTTTGTTTAATTGGATTAACGGATTATGTAACTGAATCATCATCTGCTTATTGTATGAAGAAAAACAAACAAGAAAGGCATAATTGCTTTTATTTGTTTCTTCATCCGCATGAGAAGTTGGTGACCATGATATATGTCAAACCTGCAGAAATCTGGAAATGACAACCCGACATAAGTGAGCATAAAACCAGCATTATGTAACTGGATTTTCTTTGCATTCCACCTAATAAATACTTACAACATTGAGTACTCCATTGGGTAATGGTTACAAAAGGTAGTTTCTCCTCTTTACAAAGGCGACTTATCATTCCAATTAGCCATTTACATCCGACTTAACCATTTAAACATGTGCACTTTACAAAAGCAGGTTGTCTTCCATTTGCAAAGTCTGTCATTTAGAGTGCTTCTGAATGACAGATACAAAATACATCTTTGCAAACACTACAAGAAAAAACGATTTTTGCGACCAAACTAATTGGTCTCTAAAAGTCCAAAATTGGTTATTAATCCCTTTTTGCAACCATAATATTTTGGTAGCAGAAGTGTCGCTATAGCCGCATTACTAATACCTAACGCAACCAAAACCGTGATTGGTAGCGAAAAAATAAGCTATTGCAACCAATTTTGCCAATGATAAAAATCTTGATTTTTTCGTGACCATATTTATTTGGTTGTCATAGTTCAACATATTGGTTGAGAATTCGGGACTATTGGTTGCCTCAAATACTAATGACTACCAATTCACGTGACCTTTCGTAGCCAATTATTTTTGGACGCAAAGGAAAATTTATTAAAGTGTTAAAGGTGACCATTCACTTTGGTCGGGAAATTAACATATGTCAACCAATAATATCATTATGACGACCAATTATTTTGGTTATCAAATTTTAATACAACCATGAAATTTGGTTGCAAATAATACATATGCCAACCAATTATGTCATTTTGGACAACTAATTATTTTTGTTATAAAAGTTTAACACAACTATGAAATTTGGTCGTCAAAACCATGTACTGTGACCAATTAAATCATTTGGGCGACCTATTATTTTGGTTATAGAAGTTTAACACAACCTAAAATATTGGTCGTCAAAAATACATATGTCAACCAATCGTATCATATTTTAAGACTAATTATTTTAGTTATGAAATTGTTATACAACCATAAAATTTGGTTGCAAAAAACACATAAGCCAACCAAATGGATAATTTCATATGACCAATATTACTCATAAAATTTTGGATGATACATTTAATTGAAAAATTAAATTGAATTATAATAAAAATTTGTTTTCTTTATTAACAAAAATCACAATTACACATTGTTATCACTAAGAATAAACACAATATTTCAAAAACCACAAGTACACAAATACAATTGAACTGAAAGCTTCGAAGTCTCTCAATTCTATACAAGACAACTGATTCCTTTTAAACAGATGCTGAGTTCTGGATAATAGAATTGATGCACTGCAAAACCACAAGAACCACACGATGATCAACTAACCAGACTGTCAATAATTATAAAAAAAAAGCCAAACCTGGTAACAAAAGCTGAGAGGTGGAACAATAGATTCACGATAATAGAGTTGCTCATGTCTTACTAATAGCAACAGATTCACAGAAAATATGAGGGCACAAATGAAGCAGCAGATTCACAGATACATAGTGTCAAACCGCATGTTTTTATAAGCACTAATTTTATATACCAATCTTTTTTGAACATGAGAGAAATTACCTTCGCTTTCCGGATACTGAAGAGGTTTGGTCGGTACAATGAGCCAGCAAGGATGCCACAGATTCCAAGTATGAGGGATCTTTTCCAAGATGAAAACAGAAGCTACAATATAAAAAACTATAGACATAACTAACAATACCAAAAAGGATCAAAGCATTAAAGTAAAGAACATATGCATGGCAAAACAACCCTGTATGCAAAAAGGATAAAGTTTCAGTGTGATCACTGAATTCTACAAGCAGTACTGCCTTGTAGGTTTTTATCTAATGGCCACCCAATACTAAATGCTTGCACATAAGTCCTACATGGAAAATCCTATATATTTAAATATATGGCTCTAATTAGTTTATCAACAAGATGCATAATTGGTTTATTAGCACGAGAGGTCCTAAATGTATACAAAGTGCAACAGAGTCGAAGAAACCTAGAAGCACTGCAGCCAATATAAGTTCATTGTCATCCTCCCTGGCACCAAATTAAAGTTTTAAGTATTCTAAAATACTATATCACGCTTCAACGAAAGCCTGATTTCAAGCAGATAACATATATATCAACAAATTGATACTGGACTTCTGTGAAAAACTGATCATTCCATACCTCCATGTTTGCTACTCTATGGTTATCGAAGGAATTTCCATCCAAGCCAGTAATATGGCATTAACAGCTCCAGTACCTCCATGTTTGCCTTACGATTCCGTCAATGAGAAAAGTAGAACACTGCTGAAGCTTATAGTAGTAGAAAAATAATCAGTTGAGAGCACTTCAAATATATTAAGTGGCAATTATAAAAAAAAAAATATACTAAGTTGGCTACAGCTTTCTGAAGCAGTGCTAAGAACAATGCTGATAACAAAAATCTAAAAGAAATGCAATGCTCCTCCTATAGAATCTGTATTCACAGGCTAGCTTCGTAACCACCAAGAAACTTTGAAGTAGTAGAAAATGATTGAGAGATTGAACTATGAGGATTGCAGAGAACATACAATGAGGATTCACATACAGATGTTAATAATAAAGTCTTTGCTTCTGAAATAAAAACAAGGCATTGTTCGGGAACTAGGTGAAGCATCACCAAAGATGTGTAAGTTGTATTGTCATATTTGGTAAGTAAGATTCAGAACAAGATACTTGACCTTTCCTTCTTCAATTTTCTTTACCCCAGAATCTGTACAAAGCCATCCACGAACTATGCCCCAAATACGAACAATCCCTGTAAAGTGATTTGCCAACCTTCAGGTATCATTGCCAGAAAGTAGATGCTACCACCTCTCTTTAGTGGAGTATCCCTAGACTGTAGACCTGAGTTTCTGGGATGTTTCAATGGAATAAAAAAAATCAAATTCAAGTTACCAAATTTAACATAAAATGGACAACAAAAGCATATGGAAGTAAAACAAAAACAAGCTTCACTTTCTAGAAACAACAGAGTGGTCCAACTCTAAATCAAAGATCAAACATTCGCTCTTCCAATTTCTTGGACAACAAAAGTTAAGGCTACAAAATATGTGTGTCATGTTAAACAGAAACTTACTACTAGTAAGCTTCAGAAATGATAAGTGTAATTCCTACATCTATTCCAAAGTGGAATTCTTGAGGTACAATGACCTGCTTCTTGGAGTTGCAGAAGATCCATGATTCTCCTTTACTTTCAAATATCAACACACGACAATCGCAAAGCAGGTGCTAAAATCTGAAGGTATTTTCAATTGCATGAAAATCACAATCAATTTCGTGGTCCATGGCAAGCTTGCTACCAGATCAAAATTCATAATGAGACTTTAAACTACAACCAAAACCAACAAACTAAATGGAGAGAGCACAAAAACCTTGCAAAGGAGAAGTGATTCAAGAGAGGCAATTACACACTAGAGTTCAATGGAACCAACAATATTATAAGGTTAATCATCAATGGAATCAAGTTCCAGCTCACAGAACCTTAACACCTAAAGGAAAATAACCATATTGTAGTGGCACAGTGACGTTACTGGGAGGAAGCAAATTCAGGAAATACAGTTGGATTAAGGACTGAAACACAAACTCTATCAGTTGCAGATTATAATGTCAATCAACAATCCTATTGAAGTCACTCCTTCACAGAAGCTGGAGAATTAGGCATTGCCTTAATCGGTTACAGGTTACAAGGTCAAGAATACGACAGACTCACCAGAGGCTTTGAAGTCGGCGACTTCACGCAACACTCGGCCTTTGACCACTACGAGAGTGACGAAACAGGGGAAACGGCTCAATGATCCTCGTGTCGAGAGCTTTTGGACGCCATGGCTAGGGATTGGAGCAGATCGATTCTCAATGGTGAGTTGAGAACTTTGGTCTTCATAGCTAGGCATCGAGCAGTAAGATTCTCGATCGCGATTAGGGCTCGGAGCGGACTCTTTCACAGCGAAATGGATGACTGGAGTTTAGGGATTTCACAGATGCTACCGTGTTGGTGGTGGTTGTGGTGGCCGTGGTGAAGCTGCGACGAAAACGAAGGAGAAAGCATCGCAGGCCATGCGGCAGCGGCGGCGATAGTATCTGCGATAAAAATTTTAGTGATTGAAGCGGGGAGACGAGCTGAATCCGATCGCTGCTCTACAAGATGAATCCAATCGCTTCCAGATCGGGGAAGGAGAAGAGATTACCGAAGATATCTCATCCGTTTCATTCCCAAGGAATTGAAGTAGCCGAGCTTCAGAACCGCTTCCTCTGGATAGTGGAGTAGCAGTTCGCTTCTTCTTCTCAGCTACCAAATCAGAGATTGGCGAAGAATCGAGACTTCGTGAATATTTGGCGACGCAGATGGAGAAAAAGAAGAGAAAGATATTTGGCAGTCTGGCGTAGATTCACGATTTGGTGCTTCGGAAGAGGAGAATTTGGACTCCGAATCGTAAAAGCTAAGAAGGATGGAGAGAGAGAGAGAGAGAGAGAGAGCAGGGGAAAGTAAAGGATAATTGCTTTTCTTTTTCTTTCATTAATAGACTTATTTGTTTTCAATAAAAACATCAAATTTTAATATTAGTTATCTACAGTAACCAAAATTTTATTGATACAATTACAACCAAATAATTTAGTTGCTGAAAATATTATATTGCCTTTACAACCAAATTTTTTAGTTATCTAAGGCTTATAAAATTATTGCTTAAATTCATAACCAAAAATATTTGGTTGTAAAAAATAAAAATTATTTTCCTACCAAATTTTTGGTTGAAAAAAGTACAAATCATTTTGCTACCAAAATTATTTGGTTGAAAAAAGTACAAATTATTTTGCCAACCAAATTATTTGGTCTCCTTAATTTTTATTTGGTCATTGATACTTTGATTCTAATAGATAACCAATTTGTTAATATTTTAACTACCAAAAATATAATTGGTTGTAAATACTACCTTTTCTCAATCAAATTTAGTTTGGTTGTAAAAAAATTTTGGTTGCAAAACCTACTTTTTGTTGTAGTGAAACTAGACAACACATGATAAGATCCTAATCCTACCCAAGATACTATTATATACATTAGCATCTACAGTAGCGAGAGACTGAGCACAAGGGTTAGTCGGTCCTCGTCATCCATCTCATAGAAGCTCTTCAAGTCTAACGGATTTGCATTCAGATACCTAAATCCCATCACCCTTTGAACTCGGGTTAGACCTTCTAGTTTGTCCAAATTTGTGCAAACCAGATTCATTAAATTAAACCAAATTAGATATGTTCCCTTACATCACAAACTGAAAATATCATACAGGAAGCTACTTCTAAGCATAGCAGCTCTGTTCATACTCACGTTCAACAACAACTCTTTCTCCTCCGCGGCGCTTGCTACTTCGGTCTCCTCGACGTCGTAGTCCGTGCGGCTCTCGTCGCTGACGGTCGCTCGTCGGCCTTGCCAGCCTCTGCGGTTGGCGGCTGCCTCGCCGTCACATCGTCACCTCCATCCTTCAAGTCTGTCGTCCCGCGACGCAACTCGTAGGCCTTCTAATACTCCATGATATTCCATAGTTTTTCCTGCTTTTGAGCCCACGACAGCTCCGAAGGTTTTGGTGACCATGTCGTCTCGGGTCGCTGCTCCCCAGCCTTTGCGTCGCGCTTGGCCAGCTGTGGAGGTAGTTCTCTGTCAGTCTCCTTGGGCATCACTTCCTCCTGCATGATCGGTAGCTCCTCGGGGATCCAACGACGTCCGATGCGGCGGGCCTGTTCCCGCAGTTCCGCCCATGACACGTCCGAGAGCCTTGAAGAGCTCATCGTCGAACCAGTTGTAGAACTCGTCCTCGGTTGAGAGTTGTGAAAAACTCAATTCTCGAAACCGGGCTCTGATATCAAATGTTAGAAACAAGGTTTCTAACGGGTTTGATAATTGGGATTTAGGGATTTGAAGAATAGAATTAGGGATTAAGAAGTAGAATTTGGGGAGGAACGAGAAAGAATGGCTGGCGGCCGGATTAGGGAAAGAAGAGAAATTGAGAGGATTTGGGAGAGAATAGGGTTTAGGGATTTTCTTAATATGCTTCTTATTGATTCTGAATGGAAGCCCAACATACATATATATAGGAAATAGTGGAAAACCCTAACAATAAACCTAATTCTATTAAATGACTACTAACCTTATTGATAATTACCCTAATAATAATTATATTAATAAATAGAGAAACCCTACAGAAATCGATTTCTAACATGAGGTGAGAACTAGGTTGTTGACTTGTATGACTTCTCTTACCCTAGAGACTGAGTTTGCTGCTTTTGACAAGGAGAAGCTGGTAAGTCTTACTCGATTGTATCCTACAGAGTTTGGTCACCTTTTCGACTCTTTTATTCTACGAGACTTCAAGAATTATCATCATTATGTTAAGAATGATGAGTTATTTCATGGATTAAAATGAATTGATGAATTATGTTAGCTGATGGTGAAGACAAAAGTGAATCTATCATATCCATGGGTATATTTGCTTCTCAAAGTTGTATTGACTTTACCGTTTCCAACTGCAAGTTTGAAAGAACATTTTCAACTTTGGACTACATAAAAAACAAGTTTCGGAATTGACTAGGCGATCAGTTGGTGATGATTGTCTTTTAGGATATATTGAAAGAGATTGTGTTGTGTATTGTAGACACTAAGCGTATTTTAAAATATTTACAGAATATGAAAACACCACGTGATCTTTTGTTGTAACTTGTATTAATTGATATTTTGTCGTTGAATACTAGTAAGATATTTTTCTTATTTAAGAATTATATAATTTTTAATTTTATTTTGAATGAGGACACCCTTAAATAAAATTTCTGAGTCCGACACTGGATGGGGTCGCACACTCTGTACATGGCGATCCTCGCCAAGGGGACTCCTCCTCTTGCTACCCCGCTAACTAGCCCGTAGAAGCTCGCGTCCAGACCACGCTCCCCCGCAGCCGTCAATTCCAATGGGTTGTTGGAGGTCCATAAAATCCCCCGCTTCGACTTAAGAAGGTTCTTGACAACGAGGGATTTCGTCACTGTGTCTTCCCCAAAATGGAATCCTCTGATTCCATATTTATTTTATTTTAAATTTATTTAATCTTGCAAAAAATGACAAGTTATTGTGTAAAATTAAAATATTTCCATGTGGCACAGTCAAATATTTGATTTCTTGCTACGTCATCAAAAACATTCTATCTCAGCAAATAGTTTGCCACTTCAGAGACAACTGACAGTTGACTAGAAGGAAAATTGTAAAATTTGCTATTAAATTGTTTTCACATATGTTTGACTATTATTTTGTTTAAGACAAAAATTTTGACTATTTTATTATATTTCTTTTGTTTTGGTGCTAAATTGTAATTTTGGTGGAGCAAGAGGTTTGGGGTTGATTTCGTAGGAAAGGATTTTTATTATTTTGTTTTGTTTTGTTTTCAATTTTAAATTTAAATATAAATATTGGATATTTGAATTTTGATTAATTTTTTAATTTTCTATAATTTTAAATGATGACATGGCTCATTGATCGAAAGATTATGAAATCGTATCACAAATTTATACTAGAAATGTCAATGATATAGTATGTTATACTGAAATCGTAATTCAACCTATCCATACGTTTAAAATCACCTATCAATTTGTGGTTCGGAACTCGATATTACTCGAAATTGTTTTACACACTCGATATGTTGAATTGCAAAATACAACTCAAAAAGAAAAAGTACAAAGTGGGAAGAAAAGAAAAGAGGAAGAAATGAAGAGAGGAGCCAATTGAAAGGAAGGGAAGGGTGGGAGCAAATTGCAAGAAAACGACAAAAGCCTAAAAATGAAAGTTTGTCAGAAATATCTGCAACACACACAAACCCATCCTCCTTGCTTACACTCTCCTTTCCTCTACACAACCAGAAGTCCAGACCCAGAATACTGAATACATACGTACGCGCGCGAAATACACAGCACTCAGCTCAGCAGGGAAGGCCACAGTTGGCAGTTGAGTTGAGTATTCCAGTGAAACTGTAGCCTCGCTCCTTTACCGCCAATAGCCGGTCCTCCTCCGGTTTTCTCATCTCATCTCTTCTCTTCCTCCGCGCTCCTTGTATGTATGGTATAATAAGGAAAAGATGACCCAGCTGAACAAGAATGCAGAAATTTTTAAATAATAATAACAACCACCGAGAGAGGTAAGAAAAAAAAGCTGCGACGGAGGTCGGTGAGGATTGCTCCTGCTAAAATGGAACTTTACTAAACTTGCGTTCTCTCATCTCATCTCATCTCCTCTCCCAGCGAGCGCAGTGAACGGGCTCTCCGGCGGGCCTATTCTTCTGTTTTTTGTTTGTTTGTTGCCTTCCCTCTGCTTCGTATTCATTCAGTCTATCATTTTTCTTTTCTTTTCTGCTGGGTTGGGTTGGGTACCGGATATCTGTGCTGCCAATTATCTGCAGCGGAAGCAGAAGCAGAAGCAGAAGCAGAGATATGAAGACGAAGAAGATGCTGATGATAATGATGGCCTTACATTTCTTCTTCGTCATCACCACCACCGCATCTCTTTTACTGTTACCCCTCTGATCCTCCTCTCTCTCTCCTCTTTATTATTAATACCCACCCATCTCATACACACCCACAAACAGTCTCTCTCTCTCTCTCTCTCTACAGAGGCTGTTTGCTTCTTTCTCTCTCCTTGCTCTCCTCAGTCATCTCCTCTCCTATTTCTTCATTATTATATACAATTTTATTGTTGTTGTTGTTTATTTTGGTAGCAACGCAACCAGCGAGCAATCCCATCTCTTGTTCCACTTTTTTGAGTTTCCCCGTTTTTTTTCTTTGCTTTCCATCATTCAGCTTTGGGGAGAGTTCTTTTCTGTGGCTTCTGTTGGAGACTCTCTCTGTGCTTTCCCCCCTCCCTTTTCCCCTTTCTCCTTCCTTTCTTTCTCTTTAGCTATGGCGGAAGGGTATCATGAGGCCTACCATGTCCCACAACAAAGCCGAAGAGATAAGCTCCGAGTTGTGGCTCACAGCAACCAGAACCACACCATTCACAATCATCTCTACGATCCTTGTTCCTTCCTTTCCCCTTCCGATTTCCTCTCTTCCTCTTCTTCTTCCTTCTCCTCTCCCCACAATTTCATGGGCTTCGTCAACAACTACACGGATCCC